AGATTAAAAAAAAACAAAGTATGTTATTACAGTTTTATGCTCACTAAGACTGACAATAATGACTGAAATTTATTAATTCCATTCTTATTCATCTGTATTTCTTTGAATATATATTTTTCTAAGTCTATCAAATAAGGAATCTTCTCTGTGAAGATCACTACAATTTGGATAAGAACAATATCTAATGAAAGAGAAACTAGACTCAAGTAAAGTAAAATAGCCTTATTATTATATAATTAAAAGTTTGGAAAAGTTAAGACTTCAAGTTAAAGAGAAATGATACAGAGCTTTTCATTTCTGAAAATGCTGGTACAGATAATTCAGATGGCCCTTTGTGGGAAAAAATAATGGACAAAAATCAAAGTAAAGACTTCTATGGTATTAAAAAATCCAATAATATAGTAGAAAACATAAAGAAATATCCTGATTTTCTTTTGTATTTTTAGTAAGGGTCTACAAGGCGTCATTACATATATCCAACTCAGTCATTCACCTGTGTTCAGTCTCCCAAGAGGCTGAATCATGGTCTTAGCACGCGGAGCAGGGCAGGCACAGCACACCAAATATCAAACCCTGACCCCTGAGCTCTGCCTAAGCAGGTGCTTTAATCCCCTAAACTATTTGGCTGGCCCTAAGACTGATTGTTAATAGAATTCTGAAATCAAGGTTGATAAGCAGTGTACAAGAAAGACAAAACATTTTATTGTTCTCAGAACATTGGAAAATGTTCATATTTGTCTCTGATGTAAATCTGTGTGAGATTAAAAAATATAAATCAAAGCTTGGGGCAACCAAAGTTGCAGCATATTATAGGAAGATTCTCCTCATAGTAAAGGATCCTAGGTCACATTATAAAGTAAACACTTAAAGCACAAAGAGATATAAACATATCTTCTTCCTCCAACTCTAGGAATTTAGAAACATTAAACAGCAGGAAGAAAAAAGAAGAGAAAATTGTAGGTACATATTGTTCTTGTGTGTATATATTTTGAATATGCATTGATTGAGGGAAGGTAATTTAAGGTATAAATTTGATTCCACACTGATACTGTTTTTCAGTATCCTAGCTGAAAAGAATGAAAGTCTTGGGCCAGCCAAATAGCTCAGTGGATTAAAGCACCTGCAAGCAGGCACAAAGACCAGAGTTTCCCAGGGCCTTCCACGCCGGCCCTGCCCTTGGGGCACCCTAAGATGGCAATTAAGACTGGGCGTGGTGGCACACCCCTGTAATCCCAGCTCTTGGGAGGTAAACAGGCAGATCATTATGAGTCTGATCTAGTAGTGAGACCCTGAACACTCTGTAGGCCATTCCCTAAACAAACAAACAAAAAGAGTTTGTAAGTTTTTTTTTTTTCCAGAGGTGGTCTCACAGTTTTGCTTAATCTGGTCTTGAATTCACTGCATAACCCAGATTGGCCTCAAACTTGTGGCAATTTTCCCTCCTCAGCCTCCTGAATGCTGAGATTTCAGATTTCTGTCACCATTTCCAGATTTAAAATTCATTTTGAAGGAGGAAACATAGAACCTAGGCTTTTAGAACACCCAAAAATACATTTTAAAGAGTAATCGATGATATATGTTAAACAAAGCCAATATGAATGAGAAGAATCAGAAACAAAATAAACAGCACAGGACCCACTCACCTAGGCTATTAGGATATTAGAAGTATCAGTGATGTTTTAAAATTAATTAGACTTATAACAAATGAATGAATAACATACTTGAAAATATCTTCATAGATTAAAATTAAAAGGACACTCTGAATTCCAAGAAAAAATGATAGAAAATTACTGTGATCAAGACCTAAACTAATAAATATATTTCAAGGATAAAAAGCAGGTTGCCTACGAGTAAAGGATACAAATTCTGGATGTGTTCTGCGAAATATTTAATACATAATGAAAATATTTACAACGTTCTGAGGTGAAGAATCTTTGACTCAATAATTTTGCCGTTAGCCAATATTGTTCATGTACAAAGATGATTTTACAGCAAAGAAGAAAAATGCATGAAATACTGCATCAGCACTCATGAGTTCTGTAAAACCACCTCATGTTAAAATCAAGTCAAATTTAGATATGTGAAGAAAACCTAAAAGTACTAATATAAATTTGATGTCAACAAATCTTTGAATAAAAGGAAAATAAGTATTTTATACCCAGCTGCACTATACTTCTCAGGGACGTGAGAATTTAAGAAATACATTGCCTATAAAGTTATATTTAAAGGACTACACCTGGAGTAATAAAGCAAGTGAAAATATGAAACAACATAAATGATTTAGGTATAGAAACACTGGAATAATATGACTTAATAGTGAAGGCTCAAGTTATTTAATTTACTTTAAACTGGTATGAAGACAACAGTTTATCTCCTTTGTCTCCTTAAAGCTCATTTATATAATAAAGAGCAAAGATAGAACCAGGGCCATGGCCCAGAAGTACATAGCTCCCTTTTTCCTCTCTGGACCTCTCTGTGCTTCCTGCTCCCAAGTCATGGGCGCTCTCTCCTCTGCCATGAACCTCCACCATGCCACCCTGCTGTGAAGCCATCCTGCATCTTCTGCAAACTATGAGCTGAAGTAAGTCTTTCCTCTGATAAATTGTGTCAGGTAGTGGGTCTCAGCTATGGGAAAGCAACTAAAACAATAAGGAATACCTGAAAATTCCTTTGCCAGTCAGTGAAGCAAGATATCCATCCTCCTTCTTATCATATTTCCAGAAAATAGGAGGCCTAATGTCTGTAGAGGTTAAATAGAAAAGGCTAGACTGAGGAACATAACCACAACTGCAAACAGGCCTGGGCACTTGATGAGAAGAAGGTAAAAATCGTAAATACTGGCTAATACCACCTTTACCAAGCCAAGGAAGTCTTTTTTTTTTTCCAAAGTTTTATTGACAAACAGATAGCAATGAGACAGTTTCAAATCATATTGGAAGGACAGTTTCAACAAATAATACACTGCATATATTCTTCTTAGTGGTTAATTGCTGTACAAGATGCGGACTTGTGATCCCATTTACAAACACCATT